TCTGGAGATTATCCATGCTGAGTCACTCGTTCAGCTCTGGCCCAGTCAGGCAATAACCACAAATCATAGTACATTCGCCATCTGACATCATGGTATGTGAAATAAGTTTCTTCCTTTTTTGGACATCAGAAAAAAACCATGTGAACGCAGTTGCTTAAGAGGCCAAAGTTTGAATAGACCACAGTTTCTCACTACCCTGCTACACTAGTAGTATGTGTGATTTAGTTTTTATTTCATCTGTCTCAGACTGAGGTGCCCAATAAGTCATTAACACTTGAAAAGATAATTGCCTTTCGACTTCAGTTATGTTGCCAGTGCATACTAATGCCCCAATCCCACTTCTCTTTGTCCCTGAAGTGTTCAATAGCTGGCCAGAAAGGACCAACTGCTAGCGAGCCTGCTGCAAGAGTACCTCAGTTTGATTTCAGTGGCTCTTGTGATCCTGTATAGGGCATAGACACAATACGGTCAGTATGTCCAGCAGGGTACCATCTGTTGTTGACCACTTCTGCTGTCTTCTGCTTCTGGGGATCACTTAGAGACCAGGAAGTTCAGGTGTGGTTCCCTCTTGCGGGTGCTGCAGCTAAAGATAGGCAGGAGAGATAAGCAAGTGTATACACTTCCCTTTCCCTTAGCAGCAGCAAATTGTACTTATGTACTGCAGCTGCCTGTCCCAACAAATGAAAATCTAGATCAAGTCAGTTTCATCCCCCACCCTCACCCCTGCTGTTGCATGCAGAAACAGCACTGTGATGGAATTTCTGAAATTCGTGATTCCATAATGCCACTCCTGGTTGAAATTCTGGTGCCACATATCAAATTCATCATTGCCCTGGGTTTATGGCTGTTTCACTGGAGTATCATCTGTTCTTTCTGCAACACTTGCCTAACACTTTTGCCCTAAATGGGGATTTTATTCCTAGAATCCTAGATTGCTAGCTTTCAAAGCGCTCTGCGGTGCTGGTTCCTTTTAACTCTCCAAGAGCAGGAGAGTGAAGTGGCTACTTATCCTTCTGGTGTTTGGAAGACGTTCTTGGTTTTTCACCCTTTGGGTGTTCCGTAACTTACAATATATGTTACAGTGTTAGCTGGATGGACCAGTTGCGGCCTTGTTTTCACCTGTATCTCAGCCTTTGTCTAATGCAAAAAGTTTTGCTTTCAATTAATTTTGTAGTAGGCATGTATGATGGGAAGTCCTATGCCAATGAGCCCTAGCTAGGCTCTGGGCAGCTCATATTCATTTTCTTGGTGAACTGGCCTGGTGTTTTGGGGAAGGAGGAAGTTTGAACCAAAGTCAGGGAGCAGGGAGTTGCAGGATCTCTGTGTAAATAAAACTGACAGGCATTGAACAAATTCTGTCAGGAACTGTGCTTCTGGGGCTGAGCTGGCTGACCCTCTTGTGTGTGTATGTGATCCTACAGGTTGCAATTCCCCCAGCTGGCCCTGAGGCGGAGGTTGGGCCAGCTGAGCTGTATGTCTAGGCCTGCTCTGAAACTCCGTTCTTGGCCTTTGACTATTCTCTATTATCTTCTGCCTTTCGGTGCTCTTAAACCCTTGACCAGAGCGGGATGGAGGCCTGTGAGCAGGGTAAGTGTGAGCAGGTCTCTACTTGTAACAAGCCTGTGGGCAAATGTTCTATTACAATGGAGGACAGCTGCCGGGAGCAGGGTGGGAAGGTAGGAAGGGGAAGAGACTTATGTTAGAACTGAAGACAGCACAGTGCTGATCACTGGCACTAAAGCAGAACTGTGCAGTTCATGTCTTCCTCTCCCCCCAAGCGTGTGGGTTTTTTTGTTTGTTTGTTTGTTTGTGGTAAAGCTTTAGAGATGTATAATTCTCCTTTTAGAGGCCAGTGATGAATTTTTGGTAGCATAGAATTTGTGTATGACCCCTGAGAACCAAGTTTCCAACAAGGGGACTCAATAGAAAAGGTTGCATTCATTCCGACAGTAACACTCATAAATATCAGAACTAGGGCTAAGGCAGACGAAGTCTCTTCCCCATCCCTTTCCATAGCTATATTCCTGAGGTCTTTCCTCTGCTGCAGTTTTTGCATGAGACAGGTTGGCTGTTCAGTTTCTTCTTGGTTAACTAGAATCTTGTCTGCCCAAGGATGTACTAATGTGGATGCACCCGACTCAAATGATGAAATTTAGGAGGTTTTAGGACATGGACCTGCACACATCTGATTATGATGGGCAAACATCATCTAAACATTGCTCTTGCAAACTTGTACAAATGTGCTGCTCTTGAACGGATACCATTTCAACAGCTACACAAAAAACAGAGACTACTTGAAATCAATTGCAAAAGTGAAATATGAATTCTCAGGCACTGCACCTGTCCCCAAGTTATCTTGCTGTTTTTTGTAGTTTTGCAGTCACGTTTTCCTATCTTTTTATAAAAAGAATCTCTTCTGTGGCTATGGGGAAAACCACACAAAGAAGTGAAACTGACTCTGTCCAAGGGCTATCCAATGTGGAAAATAAATACACAAGGGAAAAAAGCAATATTTCCCTGTAATTCTTCTATCATCATGGTCTAAAGCAGGGGTGGGAAACCTAAGGCCGAGGGGCTGGATGCGGCCCCCAGATTGCTTGGATCAAGGTTCCTCCCCAGCATTCCTTCCTTTCCGCACTGGCACTCCCTCTCTCTTCCCTTCCCCCACCACCTTCCCCATTGGGACTGGAGCACACCAAATCTACCAGCCTGGGCCTCACTTGTGTGCAGTCCCTGATCGATTTCTCTATGAGTCAGCATCCCCCCATACAAAAAAGGTTCCCCACCCATGGGAAAGTGTTGCCTATAACAATAGTTGGTTTCACAAGTTTCAGTCTGAAGTAAGATTTAGGTGGCAGTTTGTGTCTCTGCTTTTCAAATGGTTGAATTTTATTTGTAAGCATCATCCATAGCACAGTCAAAACTCAGAATGCTGGACTGGTCTGAGTGACGAGGTGAGTGAAATATCATCCATTTGCAGGTAAAATAAACTTGCTTATTAGAGCACACAGCTTGAAGAGCAGCTTTCAGGAGGTGTTTGTTCTTATTTATTGCTGCATGCTACAGGTCCTAACACAGAGAGATACCCTTTCTCTAAGGAAGGAAAGGAGAGAACCATTTTACTCGAGAGTTGGAAATAGGCAGCCACTCTGGTTCTGCAAACTTACTAGGGGTTTTCAGAAAACAGCGTCCTGTGTAAAACTTATTTCAGAGGGGTTCCAGTCTTCCTTTTTATCTTTGGGATTACAGCAATACCAAGTACCACGAACGGGCACATTTTTTGGAATGACCAAACAATAAGGCTTGGGGTACATACTGTTCTTGTACTGACAAAGCTATCATTTGGGGTGTGGGTTTTTTGTGTTTGTGTCCACTATAGTTATACATGGGTATGAGCCCTAGTATGGGCCGTTATGCCAGTAGAAATGTGCAATATGTAGACATAGTTTATTCCTCTTTATGGTACTGGTATAAATTGCACTGGTATAAGCACCATATAACTGCATCCATGCCAGAGGAGTTGTACTGCTGTAATTATACCAGCATACTTGAAAGCAGTATATCTTTCATGCGTAGACAAGGCCCTTTTTAATTCCAGAAATTGACTGGATTGGGAGAAGTCAGACAGACAGTTGGCATTTTAATGCAGACAGAAATATGCTGGGATGGTTCACAAAAATAAATATATTAGTAATGTTTCACTGCCTTCAGTTAGTGCTGGCTGTAATATAAAGTCCCAAATGCACTGCTTCTCTCTATACCACCTAGGAGCAATTAGCTCACCTATGAAGCTTCAGCATACATGGGGAAGAGGGTACATGAATTGTAGCATCTTCTGTGTTGCAGTTGGAATAATGGGTTTGTGTTTTTATTATTTGCCTTGCAGCAACAAAAACAACAGGAATTATGTTGGCAAAATGGATTTCTCCCTCTCTCTCTCTCTCAGAACAAAGGACACATCCAGTTTAATTGACTTTACTTTCACTATAGGGGTTTACATTAAGCTCTTTCTGGTACCCCACCCCTACACATCAGCATGAGGGGGCAGGGAGAATAAATTTCTGGGCTTGGTTTATTGAAGACTTCAGGGTACATGCATCCTTGGTGTAACCCCACTGAAGTGAATGGAGTCACAGTGGGAATGAATTGGACACTTCCATTTTGGGGGCAAATGGAAGAAGTGCTAAGAGCAGTGGAAAGAACAGGCTGTCATTCCTTCCTCTCTAGGTTTCTTTGTACAAATCTGTACCAACACGATTGCTTTCACGAGCCTGGGGTCGTTTGAACCAGGTCGACCTGCCCACCTGGCTTCGGAAGCCTGTGTACAGCCTATATATCTGGACATTTGGTGTGAACATGAAGGAAGCAGCTGTTGAAGATCTTCATCACTACAGAAACCTCAGCGAAGGAAGCTGAAACCTCAGTCCCGGCCAGTCTGCTGCTATCACAGTGTGGTGAGGAGGAGGGAAGGAGGGGTTTGCAATGTTAGTTTTTCTCCAGAGCAGGGGTGAAAGTAACTTAAGTTTCTTACTGGTACTGTCGTTTCGCACCCTCTGGGGGAGGCTCAGGGCAAGGGGGTGGGGTCTGTGATATGATGATACCTGTAAGAAATGTAAGTGTGGGGGCCTCAGGGCAGGGGGGGATGTGAGAGGGTAGCAGAAGAGAGGACAGGAGCTTGGGGGTGAGGAGGAGCTCAATGAAGAGATGGGGGGTGCAGGAGTCAGGGTTGGGGATGTGGGGGGTTCAGGAATCAGAGCATGAGAGCTAGAAGTGTTAAGGGCTTGGAGCAGGAGGGATATGTGAATGCAGGGCTCAGGGCAAGGAGCTGGGTGAGTGCGGGGGGTGGGGAAGATGGGCAAGGGTGCCAATGCAGGGCATTAGGGGGCTGTAGCCGCACATACTGGGTCCCTGTTGCTTTTCTTGTCCTTGCACTATCATGGAAAGTGGGGTGCACAGCCTGCTGCCTTCCTCTCCCTCCTGGCTGCCCAGGGAAA